AAGAATCATGAGTAAAGATAGATCAAAAGACACAAGTTACATGATTTACATAGATGAGAATTATGAAGAGATAATATACAATATTAAGTGAGGAATTACGAAGAGATAATAAGATATAAATAAAAGATTATAGAATACTAAGAGGTGGCATGCACACTTAATTGATTTACAACATTTCTAAATATATAGAAATAAGACATGGAGGCTTCCATTTATTTCGGTTACGTGCACCATTGCTATAGATTGTCGGTTTATGAAGACAAGGACAAAACAATTTAAAAACGACAATAAACATGAAGAAACGGCAACCTCATTTAAGACGACAATTACTTTAAAACGATGACAAACATAAATGGGATTAACTTTCTAAAGGATGTAAACATTTAGAAGCAACTAGAAAAAAGCTTGCAATATCAGAAAAACAAAGAGACGGAACTTCAAGATTAAAAAAATCCCTAAAAGCGACTAAAAAAAAGGACAATAGCTTGGAAAAACACAGCAAGGATACTATGATCAAATTTAAAAACGAAAAAAAAAAATTTTAAAAGTGAATAGATAACTGGCATTTTGTGAGCGGGTCCGTTTAGTTCTCTAATTCGAGTTTTTTATTTGAGTTGAGATGTGACTTTATGTGAGAACTTTTTACTGTAGTAAAAAAGTTAGATGTGATTATTTCTGAGAGCTTTTTACTGTAGTAAAAATCAAATTTTAAATTCAAATCAGTGAAATAAACGGGACCTAGTAATCACCAGTTATGAAATTTGAACAAGACCCTGTTCAGTTCTTGATACTAATTTGTTGGCAACAGCCAGGTGTTAAGGGCACTGCAAGAGGCCGTGGTAGCGAGCTCGCGGCGAGGGTGAGCGCCATGAGTAGAGCCACGGACAATGCAGTTAAGCTGAATGTATAATCGCCGGCCTTGCGCGCGGGAGGCTAAGATTCAGCAGAGAGATTTCGGAGATTGTTGCTGAAGCTGAAGCATTGAATGAGCTCAAGTAGGTTCAGGAGTTGGAATTTAAGGTCTATTTGGATTTTGTGGTGGTGTCTTTTTTTTTTTTTTTTTCGCATTAGGGTGGCCAAAGTCATTGTTAGGATGGAATGAGAAGTTTTTGTAATAATGTGGCCTAATTGATAGTGAGTGTACAACATTTGTTTTGGTTGTTGATTGGTTCCATGAGTGTGGTCAAAACATGTATTATTGTTTCTACTATTGGTTGGAGTTTTGAGTATGGATTACTTTTAACATAACCTTAGCTGAAATAACAAAAATCAAATGGTATTGGAATTGCAAGCTTTCGATGGGCAATTGGCATATAAAAATTGTTCCTGGAGACATTGGATACATGGTCAAGAAGAATAAGTTAGGAAAATAGATTTATATCTTGAAATTAAGGCCCTTGATCACAGAAATAAATATGATCATATAGAAATAATAAATAAAATGCTCAAAAAATAAATGATCAGAACAAATATTTGTACTGGTTCATCCTGAAAAAAGCTACGTCCACTTTTGGAGCCGAGTTTACCAAGACGAGGATAGGCTCTTTCTTGTGAACAAAGTAACCGAAACACATTGAAGGAATCATACTAAATAATTGTTGCAAATCGAGTAGTTATCTATCGAGTTGATGAGGGAGATGCTCAATGGCCGAATGGACAACTCATACAAGTTTGTGAATCCAAATTTTAACCCAAGAGTTGCTAACAAAAGTGTTTTACAAATAAAGTTTATCTAAAATCCTCATAAAAGAGGACAACCCTTTTTGCCAGATTTTCAGTCTATTGGTGCATCCTTTGATTTAGTGTCCACCATTAAGCTAGTGATCTTGCACTTTTCACCAATAAGATAGGCATAACTTCTTTCTTTTTCTTTTTTTTTTCCTTTTCTATTTATGAAAGAATATCAGAGAAAGTGTTCATAAGCTCCAAACTAACATAAGCATTGTCATTGAAAGAAAAATGTTTCAACAAATAACAATGCTTTGTCAAAGAAATAAAGTAAATACTTTGTACATATTCTAGCATTATAGAATGAAATCAGGGTTGTTCTGCTTGTCTTCTTTCTGGTCAAAAAGAACTTTCTTTAACTTTAGACAGCTTTTTGCCAAATATGTGATATCTTTCAGTGGTTCACATTTCATTTCCCAGCTTTATTAGCATACTAAATTATAGTACCAGTTTAAGAATACTATGCCGTGTTTAGAATTGTTCTTATTTTTGTTTTTCACATTTTTTGAGAAAAAAATAAAAACGATTTCAAAACGGTGTTTGGCACAATTAAAGACAAAAAACGGAAATAGAAACTATTTTTTGGCTTAGTGTAAAATGGGAGAGAAATGAAAAACGACTTTTAGTCGTTTTTCATTTTTTATTTTTGTTTTCTCCTCTCTCGAGCAGAGGGAGAGAGAGAGACATTAATGAGTTTTTTTTATACTGAAAACAATCTCTTGATAAAACTACTAAACGCATTTTCAAAAATAACTTTTATCTGAGATTGAAAACGTTTTCATTTCTATTTTTATATAAAAATTAAAATCATTTTGAAACGAGTTCCAAACGCACCCCTAATATCACCATTATATTAAAAAAGTAGTGAAGAGTAATGGAACCTTAATATAAAGTTGCCTTTTTTTTTTTTAAGTGCCTACTAATGAATGTTTGTGTTATTATAGTATTCATGGTTGCTTAATACCATCAAAATTCTATTACCAGAGAAGGCCAAATCTTACACAAGTGAAAAGCTTTTTTTCCTTTAGGATCCACAAATAGCGGTAGAGAAGGAAAATGGCCAAAAATGATGTATGCTTTTAGATTACATTGTGTATTTAAGTGTCGGCTCCACAGTACTATGTGACCCCACTATGGCCACCACTTCTAGTCTTGCATAGCCGAAAAGATGTTAAATCTTTGGTGGCGTGAATTTGGATGTCTAAATCAACAAACAATTTAGAGATGCTTTCGGTATAGCCTCAAATCACCCGTCTAACCAATCATATTATTCTACATCATTTAAAAGATTTCAAATGTTTTTTTTAATTCATAATTTCATGCTTGTTTTATTAAATGATATAGTATGATACAATGAACTAGTTACTGTTTGAGATACCAAAACTTAGACAGAGAATCCTAGTCCATTTTTAACATAACTTGTTTGCTAAGTAACCTAAAGAATTGGAATTATGTGAGAGGGATTGGGAGTTTTATGTTTTGATTGGTTAATGAAGAAGCCCAAAATCTTGTAGCTATGTGGATTTTGTTTTAATATTGGCATTTTAGGATCCCAATTCGTTGAATGACGGCTTCTGAATAAGGGCATGAGGTTTGCATGGCTGGTAAACAGAATCTTCCAATAATTATTTCCTTTTCAGTCTGCAAATTTCTTTATTGCATTTAATCACTTTTGTCATCATTGCAGCCCCAAAAGCATTGAATTTTTTTCTACCAAATGAATCAAAATTCTCTCCTAGATGTTTTAATTTTTCTTTTTAACAAAAACTGCTTGTAATTTTTTATTTTTCTCATGTTTGTTTCAAAATGGAATCTTATTCTGCTCATATGCAATTTTCTGCTTCAACTTGATTAAAAAAAAAAAAAAAACTTTTAAGCTTTTGGTATCTTTTTTACTTTGATACTTCTTTACAATTACAAATTTGGGTGCTATTAGCGCTGTAATAATTAGCCTAGTCAAGAGAATTTTGACTTTAATATACCAGAATTTAGCCTAGAAAAGGGATTTATTGTCCCATGATTTCCTCATTGCTGTCATTTACCTTGGTTGGTTATTCTTTTTCATGTGCAAAACTCTGTTTTTTTTTTCCCCAACTCCATAATAGAAGTCTTTCGGTTAATTTTTATGTTTAAACCTCAAAGTATGTGAGTTATCTCACTTTGCTGCATAATTTAAAATGGCACAATGTTGATATTAATTTTAATGACGGAAGTAAAAGTCCAGGGGTGCCATTTTGAATTTTACGGTGCAATATGAGAACTTTTACTCTTCAAGGACTAAAATTAAAATTAACCAAAAGTATTTATTTACTCAAATTTCTCTCTGTTTTTTTCTTTTGTTTTTTTTTTTTTTTTGAATGATGGCTGCTCCAAGTGGGACTCCAAGACTTAGAAGGAAAGCCAATTGTTAAAGAAACCATATTATTTATTCTAGTATATTATAGGAGATTAAACAATGATATCATCATAATTCATGAATACCAGGGATCAATTTCAAATCATTGTGAACTTAATGAAAAAATATCCATGAGTTAATATCATGAAACATTATCACTCACTCAGAATCCCTCATTCCTAATCTCTTGTTGGTTGTTCGCGTCTTTTCTGTATTCACAATCAATGAAAAAAGATAATAATAGTATCATTTTTGCATTGTCATACGGAAATTTTTTATCTTATGATCAAGATAAGATTAAGGATCCTTTTACAGTATGAGTCTTTTGACCTTAATATCCGTTCAAAATTACATTAAAAATAAAAAGTATGTAAAACATATAATTTCTAATACATAATTAACAACTTACAAAGAAACTTACCTTATAAATCTCCCACTATTGGAGTTTGTTTGTGGCCCGCCAGATTTAGGTCTTGGTGAGTTAAAAATTCAGAGTCTAAGCGGAGAAGTTGGTGGCCTTAGAGCTACACGTTACATACTCTCAATTGATTGAAAGCTTCCATCGATTGTAGTGATTTTAAAAAGAGTCTTATGCATGCTTAAATTGACGTGTCAAAGAATTTTCTCGATATCGAGTTCGTCTTGCATCGTCTTCCCTGTGCTTCATCAGAATTTACTTACGGAATCTATTTTTATCGAGTATTTTGTATTGTGTACCACATGGTCATACAATTGGTGTCTGTAAGACTTTTTAGTTGAATGAAATTTTACGTTAAAAAAAGGGAGACTTACTGGTAATTTCTTTATTTAAACCCTATGGTAGAAATCTCCCAAGTTCAATGGCACAGTAAAAAATAACAAAAAGATCATATTCACTCCCCTACAATTTCTTTAGCTTTCTCTGTCAAAGTCAGACTTCCAGGGACCAAACAAATACTTTGTAGACCCATCAACTTGGAGAATCTGTCTTGTTTGTACGTTGCCACTCTTCACTGCTGCTCTTGAGTAATCCTATGGGCGTTTTGCTTCTTCATATATTCTTCTCTCACTAACACTTTTTCAAACCATCTTCAGGTAAAGCTCCAAAATATTTCAGTATATATGAAACTTGGCTTTGTAAAAAATTCTTTCAAAGAAAATGAACCAAACCCTATTTATTTATTTTCAGATAGAATCTGGAAGAGTTTTGGGAAAAAAAAAATTTGTTTATTTATTCATTTTTTAGTCCTCTCTCTATAAACAATCTGTTTGGGTATTTATATGTTTTTGTGATATGATTTATATGCAGGTGATTTAGCCATGGAAAACAGGTACGGCCTAATTAGGCAAAGCAGTGGGGTGTGGAGGTCTTTGAGAGATGGAGATTTTGAGGAAGAAGATGTTTGGTCTGTTCTCAAAGATAGAACAACAGATCATTCTAGTGATACTACCACCAAGGTTGTGAGGCTTAAGGAGTCATCATCATCATCACCACCACCATCACTTTCCGGCCCGAAAAATGTCCCGACGGCGTCGAGAATTATCCCGAAAGCCGGCGGCGGCAGCCGCAGTGTCAATTTGAACCATGAAGCCAAAGTCCTTCAGCAATCAGCTCCTATCAATACCCCCAACTGGCCTAACAACATTTATAGACACAAGTCAAAGAAGGCCTCCAAGAATAGATCATGGCTTAATGATTATGATGATGATCATCATGATGATGATGATGAAGATGATGATGAACATGATGATGATGACGATGATGATGATGATGATGATTATTATTATTATAATGATGATGATTATGCTCACAAAGTGCCTCCACATGAGTTGATTGCTAGGAGGCTTGCAAAGAGTCAGATATCGTCTTTTTCGGTTTTTGAAGGTGTTGGGAGGACCCTTAAAGGGAGGGATCTTAGCAAAGTGAGGAATGCTATTCTAACAAAAACTGGCTTCCTTGAATCATTGTAAAAAGTCTCCATAGAATTAGTGGTAAGTGTTTTTTTTTTTTTTTTTTTTTTTTTTTTTTTTTTTTTTTTTTTTTAGGATTTTTTGGGTTTTTTTTTTTTTTTTTTTTTCTTGTTTCTATGTCTTGTATAGGAATTTGTGGTAATTGGCTTAGTCTCAGAGAGTCTTGTTTATTATGGTCCTTGTTTTAGGGTGTGGAAGATTAAAAAGGAAAAAAAAAAATTAGATTTAGATTTAGTGTAAAATAGGGGACAAAAGGGAAAATTTTTGGTCTCCTGTTTCATTGTGGAATTTGATTGCGCCATTGTTTTGAGGGGTCTAATTGTCCTCAATGATAAGCATCTGATACATGTTCATAGTTTGAAGAGACCCCCAAAAGCATTTTAATTATTTCATTTGGTGAAATTAAGGCATTTCTTCTGTTGTTATCTTTGCCATCAAGATTGAGACCCTGAATGATCAATGCAGATGATAAACATCAGAAACGCTTTTCGATACTTTAAACATCTGTTTATTTCTCGGATTTGAACCATAATCAAACATTTTTTTACAGTGTATTCTTTCACAAAAATTTAAATTTCTGTCAAAATGTTGTACTCAAACTTACGAATCAAACGGGTGATACTCATTCTGGAGCATCTATTGAAGTCACAATACACCGGACCATAGGGCCAAATGTATCTGGTACAAAACTAGGTTTTTATTCTACTATTTTGACTGTCCTGTTAGGCTGGTATTATAGTCAAAATAACCTTTTTATCTCTTTCCTCCTTTTGTTTCTCTTCGTGGGGTTTTATTTCCGGAGTCAAAAATGACCTACGGATTATGAAATTGTGCAGAGCATCTGAATAATTACCTAAATAAGATTCTTCATCTAGATTGAATATACCATCCTATAATGATAAAGAAATGTTAACGTATAAAACTTTTATTGGTCCGCCTCCTAATAATTTAAGCTTTTGAGATTGATTGATAAACTAACAGTGTGTGAACAGGTGCGTGTTATTATGGTCTTTTAACGAAAAAACGTCGAACACAGTGGAAGGTGTAATTGATATTTGCTTTATGTGGAAATGATATTGCAAAAATATATTGCTGGTTTTGAATAAATAAATTCCATGTATTTATATTTTTATAATGGCATTATTATATAAAATAAATGTAACATAACACTCTTTTTCAACATATTGTTGTTTAGGATTTTTTTATTATATATATATTTTTTTGAAGAAATAGCCATTGCCACATTAACGTGGATTTATTGTAAAGTATTCCGATGTAGATTTCCACTGTGTCTTCTTGGGGGTCAAAACTTGATAATTAAAGTTAATAACTAAGTACAATATAGGGCAAAACTATCTTTTGCTTTTTTTTTTTTTTTTTTTTTTTTTTTTTTTTTTTTTAATTTTTAATTTATCTAACATTTGGTTGGACCATATGGAAAGAAGCTCTAAGTAGTAGACAAGATAAATTTGAGTAGAAATTGAAAGTGACATGTCACCAACTCGATTATCATAATCAATCCCTTCTTTTTCCCTCTTTAATAAAAATATTAAAGAAAAAAAAAAGTTGCCTGAGTCTTTTTCAGTTCAATGTGTTTCCCCACAAAGAAATTATCAGTTTCTGACCGGCTAATTAGCTAATAGCTAGACAAAAAAGCCAAAGTTTCCCTGAGCTTTCTTTACCATTATTTATGCTTTTTTTACTGTTTAATCAATATTCAATATTTATCAGCAATATTCAATATTCAATATTCAGTGCACCATTATTGACCTTTCAGCTATCATTAAGGGCTATGTCTTTTCTATTTCCTAAACAATTTTTAAGGGACTTTTTCTAAACATTTTATCCACTAACATAGTTTTGCTAATACCAAATCCAACTAGAATTGCCACAAACCACAGGAAAACACCCTGATAAACAACCGAATCCGCCAATAAATTTTTTTTAAAAAAAAACATAGTTTTAGTAATTGGTCATTATGAATATGAACCTTAGTTTTTAATTTTTTAATTCCCTTGAAATCTACAACGCCAGTAAATAACCGTCTCCAACAGTGAATTCGAAGAAAAAAAAACATAGGACGCGTTTGGAACTAATTCTAAAATAATTTTATTTTTTATATGAAAATGAAAATGAAAACGTTTTCAATCTCAGACAGAAATTATTTTTAAAAATATATTTGATAGTTTTATCAAGAGATTGTTTTTAATGTAAAAGACCTATTAATGTCTCTCTTCTCTCTCTGCTTGAGAGAGGAGAAAACGAAAATAAAAAATAAAAAATAACTAAAAGTCATTTTTTATTTCTCTCTCATTTTATACTAAACCAAAAAATTATTTTCATTTCCGTTTTTTATCTTTATTACGTCAAACGCCGTTTTAAAAATATTTTTATTTTTTCTTTCTCAAAAAACGTGATAAATAAAAACAGAATTAATTCTAAACACGGCCATAATTTTGCTAAGTGGTCCTTATGAATATGAACCTTAATTCTTAATTTCTTTAATTTCTTTATAAACAGAGAAGACTTGTGGTCTCATTTTATTAGACTAGTTATTTTGGACGTATTAAGTTGTAGTCAAATAATACTGACATTTCTTCAACCAAAAAGATAATAATACAGACAATTCATGAGGGAAATAAAATAAAAAACAAATCGACAATAACGACAATTATTCATTAAAAGAAATCTTGACGACCGAGGGAAAATTTGTGGCGGCAATTAATTCTCCTTATGTCGGTTGCAAGATTTTTTATCCCCCTCCTTTTGTTTTTTTCGCTACTGTCTATTAGCAAAGCTTCAAGAATATACTGGCTGTTGATTTCATATGGTTCAAAATTTATAGAGTGAAATTTCAGCAAAAAAAAGAAAAAGAAAAAGAAAAAAAACGTTTATAGTGTGAAATAAGTTTGCTAGATGCGTAATGTGCCGGTATCTTGATAATTTAAATAGAAATTAACATTACTATGGCTTACCCTTATTATTATTATTTATAATAATTATAGTTATAATTATTGTAATTATTATTGAGTAGATTAATTAGGGATGTGGTGTAATGACTGAGAAAATTTCAGACCTTAAATAATACAATTCATGTATTTTTAAGCCAAGGATTTTCTTAGAAAATATTATGTTATATTGTGAATGGAGGATTTATGGAATTAATATATGTATTCCTAAATTCTATAGCAAATTTCATGTTAAGTTCATGTTTCGATCAAGTAAATTCGATCGATAAATTCTCGCCGTATTTTAAGGCGGAATAATTTTCAGTACAAGTATAGTTTGAGAATCTTAATTTCAAGAATCTCTAAGCACGGCACGATGTTAGCGGCGTATAAAAAAAAAACGCACTGGCATTTTAAAAGAAGAAAAAAATCCTTAATTGCTAGACAGTTAGGTTAAAGTCGCAAGATAAATACTTATAGTAGATGGGTACAATATGAGCTCGGGAGTTGACACTGTCAGAAACGTCATTCTCGGGATAGAATACAGAAAATTAAAATTTAGAATTTGTTCAGTCTAAAATTAATTTCAAGACTTGAAACAGTTCGAAATATTAAGCGAGTAAGAATATAAAACAATATTGAATTATTCAGAAATTAATATTGGACTGTAAGTAGTAGATTAACTTACGTAAGCTAAACTAATTACCTCTAATCAGTATAAATTTAATCTGTTTAGAAGAAATAATTGAGGATAAGATCAGGCACGTAATCTTGCCTTAATCAGATACTTTATATAGTGAAATTTTTAGGGTTCTTACACTTTCTTTCTCTTATTCTCGCTCATTCTCTCTCTCCTCTCACGTTCTCTCTCACACAAACCATCAATGGCCAAATACTCAAGTTAAGATTCCGACCTCCATTTTTGACACCACCGGTGTCAATAGAAAGATCTCGACGAGCTGAGTTCAACGACATGCGGCACGACCTCCAACCCCGCCAGAATCAGCCGCAATCGCCGGCGGAAGTTCCGAAATTCCCATTTCTTCCCGTCGTGATATCTCCCCCATCCGACCTCCGATTGAGATGATTTCAGTCCCTATGGACTCAGTGCAGCGAGACGAAGAAAACCCATC